GTGCTGCTTGAAGTTTGCCCCTGCTGGCCGTTTCTTGGCCAGCTGTTGCAGTGAAGTACGTCGGCGAAGTTGGGTTGGTTGTTCATCGCTTCTTGCATCTCGCACTGATACGGCTCCCATGACTCTGATGAGCTTGGGTGGTCGTGTGGCGGAGTGTTCAGGAATGTGCCGTGATAATCCTGTGCGCTGTAGATCTTTTGTCATTTTGTACTTGCTCCGCCTGTTTGTCCCTCTTGTGACGTCCCCCTGCCCTTGCCCAGGCTCTCCCGCTTGCTTGGCCGTTCTATCGTGGGTTGGACCCAACTAGAAGATGTGGCAGGATCTGCAATTCGGTTCCTGGACTGCCCTGAGGGGTGGGGTAACTCCTCGAAAGAAAGACGGAGACAGGTAGACACAAGGAGGGGCCAGCAGCAACACCCAAGTCTCGTAAAGCAGTGTTAGATACAGTACCAGGCCCCATCCCAATAGGAAGATCTGAGCATTTCCCAACAATCGAGGCACAGTCTGCACAATACTAGCTCTGGCAGAAGCCAAGCCCGTCGAATTTTCAGAAGCTGGGGCGGCAGCCCATTCAGTGGTGCTTCCGTTCTTGCAGAGGCCCTTCTCGCGGTAGTACCTTGGTAGGATGGTTCGCATCATACTCCTCATAGACACACACTGACGTCACATCAAAAGAGGAAGAACCACTGCGTAGTGCTTGTTGCGAGATCTCACTTGCATCCATGCGGCTCACATGTCCACCCTTAGTCTATTGTGCTTGTGGCAATCTGCTGCGTCTAGTGGAAGGTATCGAGCAACAACCCCTTTTTGACTCTCACGCTAGCTGACGCAGGCAAGGCTTCGGTAGGTTCAACGTAGAGAGCATGTTGGCCCCGAAATTTTGACCCCAGGGAGTTTCAAAGACCAAGCAGGCAACAACCCCTTTGAGGGTTTATGGTTTGCCGTCCAACATGTCCTTAGGGTCTAGGGCTTGCCGCCCCACTTGTCTTATCACTATGCCACCGTTCACGGTTGAAGGGCTGGCCACCCAGCATGAAAAGGACCCCTTTTCGGGTCTGGCCTGGCACCCAACATTTTCCCTTTCGGCTTAGGGTTTGCCACCCAACGTCTCGCCTTGAAAGAGTACAAGTATCAGAAAGCACGCAACTGCCTTGCAAGACTAAGACTTGCACATCCTTTTAGGGTTTGGGGCCTGGGGTTTGCCGCCCCAGCACCCCGCTTTTTGTTTACAGATTGCCACCCCACGTCTCCATTTAGGTTTGGGTTTACCACATATGTTGCCACCCGCCTAGCCCTGCTTGAGGGATCTTCTCTGCAGTCAAAACTCTGCCCAAAATTAGTCCAAAGTCAGAAACGTCGAGCCCAGCCATTACAGTCAGAAAGCAACAGTACAACCGGGGATAGGACAACGCATAAGACCACAGCCAGGCGCCATGCCAGTGCTTCGAGCACCCGTATACACATCTCAGGGAATTGGATCTGGCTTTACCACATAGGGTTTAGTCGCTCACTCTCGCACAAGGCCGGCAAGGTTCGTTGGTCTGTGTAGGGATTGCGGGCCAACATGTTCATGTTTTGCCACCCGTTTAGTGATGGCTCCACGGATGCATTTGTTGGTTTACATTTCCGGAGCCCACAATTCGACACAAGTTTTTGGGGTTTGGCACATCTCTTGAGGGCCCCACCTAGCTACGTGTTGATTGCTTCTATACCGTCTATACCTTTCGAACCCGCTTAGTAGATGGTGATGATGCATTGAGCGGCCCATAGTAGACGGCCATACTGCTCCTGGCGTCGGCTTGCACCAAGCTGAGTTCCGTCCACCTTCCTCATATGCGCAGCCAGACCAGCCTGCCAAGGCAGCTCCCATACTTAACAGCTTAAAGGCATGCAAAGCATACACCTTGCAGAAACTTGAGAAGCGCAGCCCAGAAACCATTTGCCCAATCAGGGGTATCTCGACAAGTTGTAGACGCCGGTGACGTGTTTTGTCGGGCGGGCTCCTGGAACTGAACTCTAACACGCAAGACTATGCAATCTCGGCTACTGGGCTAAGGTGTGAGATGCACATCCTCAAACTTAGGCCCTACATCCGCGTGAGCATGCCGAGTGCACACCTGGTGCTTGAGAGAGTGTGGGACCGTCTCCTTTGGCATTCTTTTCCGTTGTCTGGCTCTTCTTCCAATTTTGTCGTTTTTGTCCAGGTCAGTGTCTGTTCGCCACTGGACGAACTACCATGTGACCCCCTTTTCACTCTCCATTCTTGAAGTGGTCCAGGTACTACAGTTGACAACGGCAACAGAGACAGAACCCGGGCAAAAGACTGGGTCCAGAAGTGGTCTACGAAGGATGCTTGCTGATCGCCGACTTGGACCCAATGACAAAATGAATACGTTTGCGCTTCCGCGTTGGTCATCAACTACATTCATCATTAATTGGAGCAAGGTGTAACACGGAACTGACCTTTATTCCTTGCAGCTCTTTCTCTGACCCTCAGCGGCCTGAACAGGGACTTGCAGCGAGCAGATGCCGTCTGTGGAGGCGCAATGGCCAGGCAAGCAAACGCAAGTGGAGAGGTTGTGACCTCAAAATTGCAGGGAGAGTCGGACAGCCCCAAGATGATAGTTGCCGAAAAAAACTCCTTTGTCCCGTGACGATAGAGTGTTCGTGCCGAGGAGCAATAAGCCGGCCCTTGAGATGATCCGCAAAATCCAAACTCCAAGGCACAACTCTTTCCGGTTTGCCGATTGCATGTAGTGTCGTCCTGCATGCAAGAAAAGTTTGAAGCCAGCTCAGTATTTGGCCTCTTTTGTTGTCCAGTCATGCCTGAGATTCGCAGCCGCAGCAGTTCTTCTCGGGCCAATTGTGCAGTCGGCCCCTGCGCGGGGGGAGGAAAAACATCATCGGCGGCCTCCGACAGCCAAAGCCTATTTTTCGGTTTTGAGCGTCAGCCTCGCGGACTGTCGGATCTCCTTCACGGCACCATTGAGCTTCCCACACAAGCCCTGCTGCCGATAGTACTCACAAGTCCAGCCTGGACCAAATGAGATGTCATGAGAATGTCGGAAACCAGGAGCTGAGAAAAAGCCAGTAAGGTCACAACCGGAAGTTGACGGCCAACTCGCGTTGATAGTGGTTCTGCAGAGTGCCGGGTCCTGCCAGTGTCATGCCATGCATGTGTAGGGCTCTCCTGGGATGCCCTAAAAGGGGAAACCAATTGACTAAGAATGCGGGCGCGTGCGCCTGGCCACCAGGGAGCCACGCACAGCCTGACCACCCGTTCGACCAGCCAGGGGTGTCTCGACCTGTCCAACCCGCCAAAACCCGTCCAAACCGCCACTCGTTGCCATCTCTGTTTCATTCCGTCTCTACGTGTACTGTCGCTTTGCGTTGCGGAAGGAGGGCTCAGAAAACGTGCGTGTGTGCATGTTGTGTGGGAATGTGAGGATTGATTGGGCTTGCCTGCTTGCTTCTGAGGGCCGGACAAACATGCACGCCTTCTTTCCTGGCCCAGAGCAACTGTAGTTAAGATGTCGCTAATACTATGGAAAGCGCCCCCTGCTTCAGTCTTGGTGTACAACGCAGAGAGTTGGCATTGGTTCGGCTGCAGTATGTTGATACAAGCTGCACGCTCTTAACCTAGTCAAGGATGCCGTGCGCAAGGCATCTACTCATAACTCAGGCCAAAGGTGGGAGGGGGGCCCCTAGTGTGACCTCAGATGTTTCAACTCTCACACTAGCGCACGCGCAGGCAAGGAGGCTCCGGTGGTCATCTCAGCCTGTACCGCAACACGTTGGTAGTGGCCACAACATGGTGCACTGACACCGCCCCCAACTAGCAACCCAACAACCTCAAATGTTTGAGATATCAGGCCAAAGGCCCTTCCAAGTCCGTTTGGCCCAAGACAAGAAGGTTGAAAACAAAAACTCCCCCCAGCCCGTTCAATCTCCCCATGTCCCCTTCTTTCCTCGATCTTGAGCGCAAGGACGAAATCAAGGGTACCGAAAAGCGTGTGGTTTGAGTGGCAAGGAAGGGGGGGGGGGGGGGGGCAGGTTGCTGTTCTGCTCCGAGGCTCGGTGCGGTCTCGGCCAAAGCCAGCGAGCAGGTCAAACCCTGAGATGGCACAACAAACTTCTTCAACTTCATGCAGGTTCACTCGACATGCCGCTGAAGAGCCAGCCAACCGCTGAAGCTCAGCCTTGCAGGAGGGATCATTGCTTGACCCCGGGTTGATTTCGCAAGGGGCCTCCTGAAGGCCATGCTCAAATGGCCGGCGTAAGACCATTGAGCAAAAGCAGCTTGGTACGTTGTAGGTCGGTAAGCATGTGATTGCCTGCTGCTGTACTTGGTTGTCACGTTCAAACTAGCAAATTTGCAAAAAAAGTGGAGCATAGTCTGTGGCAGCAATGCGGCATGAAAAGGCTGAATGGTGGAACTCTTGACACAGCATGGCTGAAGCATGCATATTACTATACTCAACACCAACAACAGAGGCTGCCATGCCAGCAATCACCCGAAAGCGCTCATGGTCTTTCTCGCCTGGCGTCGTCTTTGCCAACACTCCGCGCTGGAGGTGCTGGTGCTTTGCAGTCATTGTGGCCATGTTCGTTGAAGACGACCAGCTAGGACGGGAGAATGCCACTACATCACCATTACGACTACTGTTTGACTTTACTTTTTGTTTCTGGTGCTGTACGGGCTCTTTGCCGCAGGCTACATAGCAGATGATCAAGAAAGTTCAGTTTTATTCAATATCGACCGTACCAGCATGACACATAATATCATAACACGGCTAAACATCATCAGATGTGGTCATCCCACCCAGCTTCCTCCTTCTTCATCTTCTCCTCCACCTGAAAGGCACGGCAACGTTCTCTAACTGCATGGCACATAGTGGTGCAGGGTTGCCTCAAGCCAAGATGCTTGGTTTTCATGCTGCTCCGGAAGCGTGGCGCTAGTAGAAACTCTCATATCGAAATGAAACCAACGACTGACCCTGTTAGTCAGAGAGGCCAGCGTTCAGGCACATGGAGCGAGCAAGCAAAGCTTCAGAGGCTTGATGCAGAAGCAAGCTCATGCGCGCTAGAGACATCCAATAGTCTGCCCGAGAGCGGCAAAGGCCACTTAGCGAACCATCCAAGGTGTCCACAGCTTCCGCTAGTCTACCATTGTCCACCAATTCTGTGGCCAATGCCAGGGTGCGCAGATTGTGCTTTTGGCTGTGCTTCTGTATGCCATCATCCTCTACAGATGCCACGCTTGGGATGGTCCCGAGTCTGGACTCAAGCGCCGCGTGCATTGATGCCTCATCTTGCTCGCCTTTCAGCATGTACATCATTCCGAATATTCGGCCGACAATCTCACTGGCAAGCCCTGTTCGGGGTTCAAAGGCCGCTGCGACAAGCTGCGGCAATTGTTCGTGGAAGTGCCGCTGCAGCTCCTGTTCTGTAGGGATGCTGGCTGCATCCTTGCCAAGTGCGTGGAGCTCCTCTGTAACATGAGATATGACTTTGTTCGCAAAGCTGTCGTTGGACTTTCGCAGCTGTTCCCTGCAACCTTCTCTCAAAGCCAGAAGGTTCACGGCTGAGCAGCTCACAGACTCGGCCTGTGTGTCCGGACTTCTGTCAGAGCTCCACAACTTCTGCAAGTGCTCAGGTGTCCGTCCTAAACCTTGGACTTGGTCATCCAGCTCGTGGCGTATCTGGGATAGTTCTGCCCAAAGCTCTTGCATCCGCTCGGATTGCAAGCTGTAGATGTCCTTATCAGTCTGATCCTGCACCTCACTCATGGCGTCTCTAATGGCCTCTGCACGACGTTCTGAGGCTGTTTCTTGGAAGTCTTGGATGTCTTTGAGCTTCTGGTGCGTCTTTTGGCCTGCAAAATCATTTGAAAGTCTCGCCATTTTCTCGGTAGTTTGACGCTCCCACTCTGGCAACAGAGACTGCCACGAGTATGCCAACTCTTGCTTGTCCAGCATATACTGAATGGCAAGCGAATGAGCCAAAGAGGATGCCTGGTCTAAAAGCTCAGACCTGCTGAGGAAGGAGTTCGTTGCAGTTGCGGATGCCATGCAATCATCGACCACATTCTGGACTGGACCAGCTGTCATCTCCGGCAAACGTTTCGGCTTTGGAAGGCTTTGCATTTCCTCGGCAATTGCCATAGCGGCTGATGGCGGGCAGGTGGCTGCACGGGCCTCTTGCAAAGCATGCTCACAGGCTAGAGCATCATCGCCTGTAACTGCACTGTGCAAAGCTTGCCGGTGCTGCTCCCAACTTTGCTGCTTTTGCTGTGCGCATTCAAACTGTGAAAGTACTGACCTGGCGGCCACAACTTGGCCGTCGTCTATGTCGAAACCCTCCAGTCCACACGTTCTCAGCTCGGACAAAGCATCCTGAGCTCTTGAAAGAGCGCTGGCCAAAGTCGATGCATCGACATCTCCACTCAATAACCAACTCTGTCGTTCAGCGCGCATTTCTGCTGCTGCTGCTTCGTACTGCTTCTCTGCAGCATCTGCTTTGGATAATTTCGCCAATTGATCCTTTGCAGCCGACAGATCATGAGCGCACTGAGCTGTAAGCTCAGCCATTCCGTCCAAGGGAGACTCTCGAAGAGACTTGAAAGCCTCCCCATCAACAAAGACCTGCGCTTGCTGTAGAAAATCTGAAAGGTCCTGAGTGTCTAGACGCGCCTCGGCATACTCAGAGCCCTCAACCACCAGCTTCAAATCTGCCAACAGTTGGGAGCATTGCTCCGCCACAGCCGCAAGTTCTGCTCGCTTCTGTTCCAACATCCGGCGTGCTTTGTCCTCCGCATCTTGGGCTTCCTTCGCTGCTTTTGCAGCTTTTTCGGCACGCTCCGCATCTTCCCGAGCAGCGTTCGCTTGGGCTATCGCTTCTGCCTCTGCCGCTTTGGCAGCTTCTGCCGCAGCTGCAGCTTCTGCTTCCATTCTGACTCTGCGAAGTTCAGCTTCGTGAGCATCGATTTTCAATTGAGATTCCTGATCCCATTTTTGTTTCTGCACGACCAGCAAGCCAACACCAGCACAAGTAGCTGCCAAAGCCGCTGATATACGTGGCAATCTACTAGATGACGAGATCTGCACGACGTTCACGTCCAAACCTTGCTGTTTGGGGTCACCTTGGCTGAAAGAGCGTCTGCCAGCTCGCAAAAGGCGCGCAAGCGGAGAGTTCAGGGACCGCAAGCGACCTGGGCGCCAAGGATGATGGATTACGAGGAGCTATATAAAGTTTCAGCCTCATCTTATGTGCCCAGAACCTGCGCTAAAAGTCATGGAACAAACACCACAACTTTAGTTCCACGAGCTTTGGTGCAATGTCGAGCTTCGGCCCGGAAAGACAAATGTAAGCAAAGCTTTGGCACTACTGACCGAGCTTTAGTTGCGCCCCATGCGTCGTGCCCGTGACGCAAACACCCCATTGTGAGCACGATATGCTCAGCCATACCCCATGAATACGGATAGCGAGCACTTCAATGAGAAACTGTTAGTCAGACATGGAGAACATTCCAGAACCAACTGGTAATGCCCCTCATGCGCCGAAGCGCAACCCTGAACCTAAACCCCTAAATCCACCATGAACAGGGGGCTGCCGTAAACCTTAAACCCCATGAATCATGGGGGAAGAGTGAAAACCCTGAACCCGAAAACCTGACCCTAAACCTTATTTTTCAAGCTCCAGGCTGAGGGCTCCTGCCGGACTCGATCGAGACCACATGCGGAAGCCCCAGCACTACTGACTCTACTGACTGGCACGCTCCGCCCGAGCAATCCAAGACGCAGGGACAATTTCAACGACTTCCTACAACACGCCTCCTTCAGGACCCGTAGGTCCTTTCGGTTCCCCTAGGCGACCCTTTTTCTTTCGTGACATGAAATTTGCACTTCCAGCGTTTTTCGCAGAGCGTTTTTTGCGCTCTTTCCACGCTTGGGCCTGACCCCTCGAGGGCATCGCTCAATGCGCTGCTGACTTGCCAGGTTGGTTCATTTGCAATATGACGGTGATCCTTCAGGACTCGGCTCATGGGAAGTTCAATGCCAAGCACAGCAAATCTCACTCGAGCACGGGTTAAGAGATGCAACAAGCCACTCGCAGATTCTTAGATTGAACCAGTCTCGCGATCCAAGAAGATCAAAGCGAGTCCGTCTGGCTTATCAGTGAGTCAGTAAGTACACGCAAAGATGCCACGACAGTGCGCTGGTGAGAGGAAAACGCCAGCTACTTCATGAAACAGATTGTGTGAGTCCTGTACGATTGGGGCAACATGTTGCTCACCTATGTTGCGCCACGCTGCTGATTCCAACCGCCCACGAAACTCCTGATGTCACGACCACGCGAGCTGTGTTGAATTCCCAACCGCCCAGGAAGCTATGGCAGAAATTCCCTTGAGCCAAGATGCCTCAAACCTAAATAAACCCACCATAAACCAGGAGGGGGTGCAAACCCAAATTCCGAAACCCACCATGCACCACTGCACCACGGCACCACGTGGGGCGGACCGTGCGTGGAGATGCTAATCTGCTTAAGCAACACCCTGTTGCCTTTTGACCCACAAGAAGCAAATAAACCTCTTCTCTCCAAGCCAAGCGACTCGGCCTCATGCTCGCCGTCTTTGCTAGGAGGAATCATTGGGCCAATAAAGCTGCAGTGTACAGCTTGCACTGAAAACACAATAGATGAGTACGCCAATCGAACGCTCACAAATGATGAGTGTATACATAGTATCTTTAACCCTTGTGGCAACATGCCATAAAAGCTGTGAAGGCACCATGCGGGTGTAGGCGCTTTTCTCACCATCTTTTCGGTTGAAGTCCTGAAGCGAATCGCACACGAGACACTCATCCACCGTATACAATAGAATACAACTACAGGTACATCATATGCTGTTGCCTCCAACTGGGCAAAGTTCTTCCGCTTTGCAATCAGCTTGTGTAAAGCCGGCGGGTACTGACCTGACCAGGGCGATGACTTGTCGTCCCATAATGACTTTTCAGTATGAACTGTGTTGTTTCTATTAAGTTTCTATTACAAGTAGCATGATTAAACTCAGGCGCGCACCAACACAATACCAGCTCCCTTCTGCGTCGCACTTGCGGTTTGCGGGATCCGCCACCCACTTCTGCAGGGAGCTGTTTGCTGATCCCATGTTTGTTCCCCAATTCGGTGGCAACTTGAAACTAACGGTTCCTGATGGTTCCTGCCATGTTTAACTTCAGGGCCGAAGCTGTCAGGCCCGTCACGGTGTGCACTTCTTGCTGTGCAACCCTTCGAGGCCTTGGACTCTTCTGACACACCGAGCACCTTGCAAAAGCAGGGGTGAAACAAGCTCCATGAAGAGAACGAACCTTTGAGACACCGAAGATTGGCTAAGCTCTCGTCTTTGAAGATGCGCATGAGACCATGCTTCGTCGTATGCACCTCTTGGTGACTCAATTCCATGCGATGTAGTGACTTGCATAAATATCGGCTGGCGCTACAGCACTGCAGCAGCAGCACTACCAATCTGTAGTTCTAGAATCGTTCTGCGCTCTTGTTGCAAAACAAGCCGGCTCATGATTTGATGAGTTGAGACCTTGTGCCCGCATCCGTGAGGCACATAGCAAGACTTGAGAAGGGTCACAAAATCCAGAGAGGGGGGAGGAACGATCGGAACCACACACGCGCGGCCTCAACATGGTAACTTGTAGGACGGGGGGGGGGGGGGGGGGGAAGGGGCTGAGCGAGCTTTGTTTGGGGGGGGCGGGAGGGGCACCGTTTTCGGAGCAATTCAAGCCATGTATAGATGGCTGATGAGCCCGTAAGAAATCGCAGAAATATGTAGAAAACAAATCCGTCGACACTGCAAGGAGCTCGCTTTCGCCATTCTCTGTTTACTGCTGAAAAAGTTCGAGCTGCCACCACGAAACACTTGCAAAATGACCGTGCGTGTCGCGGAGTCCACGGAGGCTAGGTGGAATGGAATGGCATGCCAGAAGCCCCCCAAACACTTCCATCGCATGGCCAGCAAAGACATTCCTGTGTGAAGAATAGTCGCCGCTGTCTGTGCCTGTGGCATGTCCTCCGCGTTCTCAAGTTTCTCAACTCAACTCCAGGGCGAACCATGCTGAACCTACCCAAACCATGCCCTGTCAGCAGACTTGGCGCATCACTGCGCTCTGAGGCTCTGTTGGCCCAAGTTCTCAAACGGCATTTGTAAGTCAACTCACCAATCACTCACGCGGGTCTCTGACAAGAGCAACTGCGCCAGATCTTCCAGCATGCGCAAGTGCAAATGCTGCAAAGGACATGCACTGGACTCCGACATCATATTCCTTGAAGCCTGATGAAGCCTGATCGCCTGCCGATGAGGAAAGGCAAAAACTTCCAGCAGAGGTGTGTCTGGTGAAACACTTTGAAGTTACAGGAACTTATCTTGGTAAATTGGGCATCTTTTGGTTTCAAGCTAGACTAAACTTATAAACTTACGCAAACGCAACTTCTAAATGCCCGCAGCCATCCCCAAAAGCTTGAATGCGCCTATAGGTGGCCGCTACTCTCCTTTTGTCATCGGATTTCTGCAAGGCACGTGAGATCAATGAAGCAACTCCCCCGCCCCCCAGAAAACCGGAGACCCTTCTTACAAGGTTTTACACGGGTTCCACCCCCGCCCTCTACCCCACCGCAATATAAAACGGCCCTGCAGTTTTCGAGGGGAGGCACTGTGGATTGGCAATTGAGTTTAATGGAGAGCCACTAGTGACTATTCCGATCACGTACAGAAAAAACTTCAAAAGAGATTTCAAGGGGAGACGGAGACGGCCTGAACCTGTTCCCCTGCGCACCATTTTTGCGTAGAACAGCTCCCTGGAAAAGAGAACGAACATTAATGCAGAAACTTTGCTATGCTGCCTCCCTAGTCTCCGAGAGCCATCATGAAGGAGTACAGAACGGCGGGACGCTCACACAAATCGCAACAAATCATGCTGCTCTCCAGCCCTGCCCTGCCGTGCCTCTTGGAACAGCTTGCTATCCAACCTCACTCCGTCATCGATGTTGTGCCTGACCGCCTGATCATGAATAAACTCACTGCGGTTCTGGAAGGTGCAAGTAAATGCATGCTGACACCTTGTATAGGAAGGATGCAGCCATCATCTCTGTGGGCCGACCACCAGCATAAAAGCCAAACTTCCTAAAAACTGCAAGAGTTGCAGCACAGTGCTCAGACGGTGAACAAGATCGTCTCTTGTGCCTACAGGTAGGATCATCTTCACCGCAAACCTGAATTCCACGACCACCATCTCCGGCGGTGACTCACCACAATGAGGTTCACATCGCATTCTGTCGCTCAGGTTCAAGCATCAGGGAACACGGAGTTGGCAATGCGCGCCTCAAGCAGCTAACCAGCTAACCCGGCAAGGAATGGGCAAAGCCTCAGAGGGTTCCCTCACGCAACGCAAAAGTGCTTCAAATCAAATGCCGGCAGGGCTTCAACAAGTCCCCCCCATGGAACCATGGAAATTAACTGCAAGTATTGCTAGGCATTTGGACTCTGACTATATGCATATGCCTTGTCATTACTTGTAATGACTGCTCTTTGCATAGGGCTACCATCTTTTCCTTTGCTACTACAGGCAATCTGGCTGAGTTGCTTTTCCAGGGCTTGCTGTAGGAAATCGAACGGTGCCATGCAGCACCGGTGATTATGCAACCCTCAGTCTACTAACAAACATAGGCGAATGTGTGAAAATCCGGCATGATATTGCTCGCAGTTTTTGGCTTTCCCATAATGTACTTCACAGACAGCGTTTCGTCAAAGCCTTGTGTCATGCTATCCTTGAGACATCGCTTCTATCAGAAGGGATCAAAGTCTCAACACGAATGCGGGGATGAGTGTCCATGTTGATATTAATCTTGTGCTTCTTTATCATAGCCCTCCTTCGTGTTTCTAGATTCATTATACATTGCTGTTTAATGTGTGCATAAGCGAATGTTGTTTCAATTCGTTCTTCTTTCTGTTGTTGCCACCAGTACATTGAGCTGCAACCTGCTTGCTATCAGTGCTATTGAACTGCTACTTTCGATGCTGCCAATCATGTCTGTTGTCCACGATTACAACTGTCACTGCCTTTGGAAGTTCTCACCGAAGACACTTTGGTCGAGTAGCCGTTGTTGCCAGTACTACTACAAGGAAGGTTACTCCAAGAACTACAGCGACATTTTTGCGGCTATGACATTGTTGTTGACAATTGCTCTTGCTAATGAATTCTTGCTGGCACGGTTGTTACGACGTTTGCGCTAGTACTTTCCCCTACCACTAGTTGTGTTTTGATGCTTGTCGCTCGTATCGAAACCATATTTCTACACTGCCGCGACTAGGGTTCAGGAAACCACTTAACCAGCATCTTTGCCAGCAGTAAGAATATGGTCACCATCAATAGTAATAGTCGTAGAAACGGGAAAAGAAGGAGTAGCTGTTGTAGATGTAGTAGCAGTAGCCATAGTGGTAGCGGCAATGGTAAACATTAAAACTGAACATGCAGCTGCATCTGTAGCTGTAGCTGTGGCTGTGGCCGTAGCCGTAGCCGTAGCTGTAGCTGCAGCTGTACCTGTACCTGTAGCTGTAGCTGCAGCTGCAGCTGCAATAGTAATCGTCGTCGTCGTCGTAGTAGTAATAGTAGTAAATAGTAGCTAGTAGTTGGTAGCTAGTAGTAAGTAGTTGGTAGTAAGTAGTAAGTAGTAAGCAGTAAGTAGTAAGTAGGAAGTAGCAAGTAGGAAGTAGTAGGTAGTAGGTAGTAGGTAGTAAGTAGTAGGTAGTAGGTAGTAGGTAGTAGGTAGTAGGTAGTAGGTAGTAGGTAGTAAGTAGTTGGTAGTAAGTAGTAAGTAGTAAGTAGTAAGTAGTAAGTAGTAAGTAGAAAGTAGTAAGTAGTAAGTAGTAAGTATAGGTAGTAGGTAGTAGGTAGTAGGTAGTAGGTAGTAGGTAGTAGGTAGTAGGTAGTAGGTAGTAGGTAGTAGGTAGTAGGTAGTAGGTAGTAGGTAGTAGGTAGTAGGTAGTAGGTAGTACGTAGTAGGTAGTAGGTAGTAGGTAGTAGGTAGTAGGTGGTAGTGGTAGTAGTAGTAGTAGTAGTAGCAGCAGCAGTAGCAGCACTAGTAGCAGTAGTAGCAGTAGTAGCAGTAGTAGCAGTCGTAGCAGTCGTAGCAGTAGTAGCAGTCGTAGCAGTAATAGCAGTAGTAGCAGTAGTAGCAGTAGTAGCAGTAGTAGCAGTAGTAGCAGTAGTAGCAGTAGTAGCAGTAGTGGCAGTAGTGGCAGTAGTGGCAGTAGTGGCAGTAGTAGGAGTAGTAGCAGATAGCAAAAGAACTAGCGATACTGCAACAATCGCAACAAGCGCAATAGTAAACACAAAATTACTAGGCATCGTACTGGTATTCCTATTTGTGCCAATATTTAGGAATAGTGATGGTATCTGATAGCCATGGTATTCCCAGTGAATTGTGATGCTTCTTCATGAGGGTGTTCTGATTCACAGGGGCTTGATTCAGCTTGCCATTTTCTGGTTCATGTTTTGCCCACTTCGCCTCCCTAGCCCTGGCCTTGGCTCTTGCTGCAATCGGCATGCTCAGCTACGTGTGCGACTGGTGTTATGCTTCATTCAGTACCTTTAGGCTAGTGAGCCTGAGGCTTCAGCTAGGTGAGGCGATTTGCCCATGTCGTCGCCTTGACCACCAGCCCAAACCTCAGCTTCTGGACTTACATTCATCTGCAGCTGAGCTGGTAGAATGCAGGTCCAGACCAGTACGTAGTCTGCGAGGTGCTTCCTTGGGTGCATGCTGCGAGAATGCGACTGCGTGCGCCCATCTGCTTCAAGAGCTTCGAACGCTAGTGGCGATGCGGCGAGGCGCCTTCGCCCCAATTTCAGTCAATTGCACGCTCTGAGCAGCGTACATGATGTTGTGAGCTTTCTTCTCTGGGTTCGTCAAAGTTCCTTGGCCATCCCGAGTTGCACTAGACAATGCAAGGGAGGGAGGAAGCCAGGCACCCCAACGGCCTAAGGTGGCGATGTGCTCGTGGTTCCAAGTGTTGCCATCAGCAATGGAGGTGCGGTTGCCTGCAGTCTCCATCCAATGCAGACTGCTCAGCAAGCCCACACTCTTCACGACGACATGGACTGCATGAAGTCCCTGATTGTGATGCTACAAAGCGATCTTAAGGCAATTACCGATGCCAGTGATCTGGTAGCCGTAGTCCCACCATGCCATCACACGTGCGTCCGCGGGCGTGTTGGCCTTGCGCTACATCGCAAGTTCAAGGGCAAAAGTTTCCTGCCGCAAATGTTGAAAAAGCTGACCATGCTTTCAGTTGAGGCCTTCAACCACTTGTAGCCGTCGAGGTAATCTGTAATTAGTCCCTTCAGCCAACTCAGCAAGTACATGTCAATGCCAATGTGAGACCGTGCGTGTTTCACAACCCCGACCTGGCGGCTCTTGAAGACGATCGATGGATGTCCCATGTGCTGGCAACGGCGGGCAGCTGTAAGGACCGCATGCCAAACCATGGTGCAACCTCTGTAGTCTTTACACAAGCCCGTGGTGCTGGCGCAATCTCCTCACATGTTGCAATGAAGCTATTGACCTCAGCAAGCATGGGCGGATGCCTCCGCCATCGAAACACAGAACAGTGTGCGATCTCAGAGTGGCGATAGTTGTGAACTGGCTTCATTGACCTACAGACCTACAGCACTGGTTTCCGGCAGATGAATATGTCGATTGGGCAGCGCGCAGGATCACGCATGTTCTGGTAGCCCGCCACAAGGATCAGGATAGCCACAGTGCATCGGATTGCCCTGAACAGTCAGGATAAAATGTCAGGGCACGCCCGCAGCCGTTAAGGTGCTAGCACCACAAGAAACGGTGGAAGCTTGTCATGGGCAAGTCGCATGCCCACGTATTGGACGAGTTTGGGGCCCAGACTCACAGGTAAGCCGGTGCTACCGTGATAAAGATTTAGCTGCCTACCAAATACTCAACAGCGCAAGCTGCCTGAAATGACATTCAGAAGTTTCAAAAGAGATGCAGGCCCCCAAACCACAACCGCCAGAGCAGAACACACAAACTCGATCACCTCACACTCGCCACTTTCCAACCAGTGCAATCGGCAAACCTTCATTTCTAAGCAAGCCCCAGAGCCGAGAGTCACAAGCAGTGCGTGACCTTCTTGTGCGAGACTTTGAAGGGAATGCACCAATGCTTCGAAAACAAAGCATCCGAAAAGTAGGAAGTACCCTGAGGCATTTTGAGGTCTTGGAAGGGTTTCGGCTCTGCGATTCGATGTTTCTGACAGATATGGTAAACTAAACCTAAACCGTCTCGGATACACAGTTGGAGCTGGACCTTCTTCAGGTTCGCGGTTGCAATTTCGAGGAATTTTAGATTGGGCACGGTTATCATGTTTGAAACTTTTTGAAATGCATTCCCCCTCTTCGCCGCACATTCCATGAGCGAGCGACCCAAAGACCGAGAACACCGAGCTTACTGCCTGCAGGGTCTCGGAAATCGCTGGTGCAACTTCTCGGCGGTCTTGAGGAGATCTGATACCTGCAACTTTGCCGAAGCATGTTGTTCCCACAATGTGTTAAGCAAGGCGCCTCTCCAGGCAAGGTGAGCGGTTCCAGGTATCGCCAGAGAAAACGGTATATGGATCCCATACCTGCACTGAGTCCCGTGGAGAAGTTCATGAGGAGATGCAGCGTATGCTCTGGACGAACAGACCACACGGTTGTTTTCTGCCAGTCGGTGCAAGTAGAGGAATCAAGCAGGATCAGGAATCGCTGGCTTCGAACTCTAAACACGACAGCGGCGAGTCGAGCTGTCGAAAACCGTGACCATCTGCTCATCAAACAAATTGTCAAATCCTCCCATATTAGTTGGGTTGCCAGGGTTGGCAACATGCCGAGGCCTCCAGATCTTGGCTCTGTCTTGACCTCTGGCTGCGGCCGCCTTGATCAAAGTTCTAGATGCTCCCAAAAACCACTCTCTCACAACAAGAGCAGATGCTTCTTGGCAGAGTCCCTGCAAAGGCCAGCACGGAGCACAGCAGAGGTTCAGGAATTGATGGAGGCACCTCTGCAAATATGCCACAAACTTCTGCTTCGGATCCCATCACACAAACATCCTCACGACTCAGTTCTCACAAGTCGGAGCACCAATCCAAGACAATGCCGATCGGGTAGCCCGCGAGCATGGACCTCGGAGTGACCCGCGGCCAAGACTCGGCTGAGAGGAGGGTCGGCTGATTGCGGTTGAGGGTTTAAGGCGGTTAAGCGCGAGCCTTCCGCTCACGCTTTGGAATCTTTGGATTCTCTCACATCTGACACCCCCGTTCAGCGCAGCACCAGATCGTTCACCGCTGAACACTTCAGCTTTTACACTGCGCAGTCGTCCTTCAAGCTTCTATGACAGCTCTTAACTTCGGCTGGAACTTTCAATCAGGGTCATGAGCTAAGGTTGAGGTAAGCGCTGGATGGGCACTATTGTCAGGTGGGTCTCGGGCTATCAAACACCTAAAAACATGACGAAAAGCAACCTGGAGAGTCGAACCGCAAACCGCATTGAGCTCATGGCACAATCGGTCCACAGATGATCATCAGTCTAGACCTAAGATGCTGTCGAGGGATGTCGAGGCAGCAGCGACCCCGCAGACGGCTCGAAGCAAGTCGACCAATGTCGACCAAGACACATCTTCGCTGAGAAGTGGTACGCCACTGCAGCATAAATCACCTGGCCATCATGTGAGCACGTTTGCGCCTTTGAACCGATGGGGTGTCGAGAACATGTTCCAGTTCCGAGGAGAAGTAGCGAGTGACTTAGGTTTAACTTAGCCAGGATTGCTGGAAAGATCTTGGCTGGAGTTTGCTGGTGCCAACCTGCTCGCGAAAGCACGCGTCGGAACACGAGCACGAGCATTTCATCGCATTTCTCTGTACAGTCTCTGAGCAGAGTCTGAGCTTACAGGCAGAACAAGAGACCGACGGCTGCAACCTCAGCACAAACCATTCCTGTACAAAGGGCTGGACGTGGTCATCTTATGTCATCTAGCGTGTTCTTTGGACATCCTCCAGTTGCATTCTTGGGCGCTCGCGAAACGTGCATCTCCCAAGTACTGCCTCAACTACAAAGATGTACATGGGTGACATTGGGTGGCCATCTCTTGAAAGCATGACTCATCCTGAAGCTGAGGAACGCATAAGCTTGGCTGCTTGTTGCGGAATGCTCTGCGACAGAATCCACCTGACGAACTCCACACGAATCCCCTGCTGCGTCCTGCGACGTTTCGTGACCGAAACTTGAGAAGCGAACTAAAGGGTTCCCGGTCTTCTTGTGTTTCAAGAAGAGACCCCTGATTCTGGCCTGCACTCAGCGTCTTCATCTCTAGGTTGTGAAGCCTTAAGCCTTAAGCTTAGGTAGTCTCAGGCACGAACACCCAGTGGAGCAAAGTGACCCAACCTCGATATGCAAACGCACTGCAAACAAACGTGCTGCTGCGCATTCGCGGCGGCTGTGCTCTGAAAGGATCGTGCCTGTACAGCGTAAAGCAAACCGCCGCACCAGAAAGAACAGCTGTTGCGAAAACTGCCTCGATTGCAATGCTGGCAACTTGTTGGTTGGGGGCATGAGAATCATGAAGGATCGTTTTAGCATCCTATACTGCAACAGCTCAACCCCACATCTCGGGCCAACACTGCACGAAACACACAGAATTTCCATGGGGAAGCAAAACCTCCAGCTGATTAGGCCAAGCTGAACAAGGCGGGCATCAGCACGCGGCGCGCTGACAAATAGGCCAGGCAGTAGGCTCATCACTTTTGACGCGGTGCCGAACGAAGTCACATACTTGCAGCCTCGTTGCAGGTGCAGGTCATAAACCATCAAGGGTCCGACATGCTAGTATGCCTCTGACAGAGTGCCCTGCCGCGTCCGTGAAATTTATGCAAGATAAAAAAATATGATGGCTGCTGGCGAGTTCTTCGCTGTTGCCTCTAACTAGCTGGGCGTCAGGCAGTTGGAACACAATGAAGACCAGAAGAGACGGCATCCTGAGCAGCTTGACGTGGACAGCTTGAATCGCCATTCGCGAAGCAACATCGCGCCACGCGGCACCTTTAAGGCCCAAGCTGCTCCATCGCCCGCAGCGGGGCCCACCCGATGACGGGAACAAGCCTTCAATGGGAACGTTTTGCCGAACATATTGAAGGCGGCCTGGTTTTGGGCTTTGGGTGCGCAGGATCCATCACTTCAGGGCATGGCCAGGGGGACCAAACAACAGGCAGGCAGGTGACGTCGACAGTTGGATATGCTCATGAGCGCGCGGCGAATACATGGTGAGTGCGTTGTGAATGCATGATGTGCGTCGTGGGTGGTGGGTAAGTGCTTTTTGTCTGTCGATGTATCATCAAGGTCGGTCCATGTCAGGTGTCGAACCTCACCTAACAGCAAAGCAAAAACTCTGCCCCGCACATGGCACCAGATGTTCCCACCACGTACCAAAGAGTGTAGGCCTTTCAAATCTTTCAAAGTCCGCCTGTGCTGGTGGTGCAATTTCTCGTGATTTCCAGGGCCGGTGCCAGGTACAATCCGGAGTTGTATCGGCCCAACGCAACCAGCACCGCAGCGTGAAGGCCTGCACCAGACTAGGATCTCACACGTGGCGACATGTGGCGACCGCTTGTGTTGCCCAGGCACCGATGAGGTTGTTTACAAAGATGTAGCCGCCCCAAGTAGCCCTCGCTACACCAAAGAGTTGCCGTGCGCACTTGAAGTTCTGACTTCAATAATCGTACTGAGGCCAGGGCGCTGCCGAGAAGTAGGCCAGACCTGCCAGCGTCGCTCCCAATGCACACGTTTTCAAATTACAACAAAGCATTGCAAGTCTTTCGGAATGCCGACCCGTCGCTTGGCAGAACATGCTCTTGGCAAAGGCGCTCGGCCAAACATGGCCGCTCCACCGGCAAGGACACCCCACGGCCAAGACCTTGGAGTTCTGATTGAGCGGCACCACCTTGGGCTTACAGTTCGTGAGAAGCGGCATGCATCTTACGACCCTGCGGACCAACTCTGACCCTCACATAACCTTGCGCCGAAGCAGCAAAAGGGTCGGCATGATGTTGGATTGGCTTTTACAAGAAAAAACCTCCTGTAGAAAAAATCCGGGCGCTCAGTTATTACAGTAACCCCCCCCCCTCAATTAAAACATCCAAAGCCGCCAAGCCCATTGAAACAATCCATTTAGTGATCTTTGACTCTGAGCCTCTGAGCATCTCACAACCAGAAAGTTGCGCAGAAGCAGGTCACCTCATGGCAGCCAGGACTGATCCGAGAACCAAAAGCCATACTTAGCCGTACTTGCCTTATGACATGTCCTGAGCTCGTGGCCGCCACAGCCTCGTTGTCATACTCGCCAGCGCTGGAACGCATCATGTGCGCTGGAATAACGGCCATAATCTTAGTGATACGACATGGCACAAAAAAATCTCGAAGCGGCAAAACTTCAAGGGAATAGAGCTGAGACGAAGACCATGCCAGCTGCGACTCCAGCCGAACAACTCTCGGAAGCCTGAACTGAGCACATGCCACTTGTTTCAAGCGTAACAGTCTAGTCGTGGGCAGAAATTAAGTTCGAAATTGTACATCACCAACACCGACCGACACCTTTAACGACTTTAATATCCCTTTTATTGTTGGAGCATGTTGCTGCTTTGAGTCCTCGATGGTCAGTAGCACCAGGAAAAGTGTCGCGAAAGCACCTCCCCACGCAGCGGAAAAACACAGTGATCGATTCAGAAATTGCCACTTTGAGAAAATGCCATGGAGGCCCGGACCAAACCAAGCTGGTGTCAGAACCTGGGAACGAGCCGCGGTGCTTTTTGCTGCTCTCACAACAAACGGCATCTCGCCCCAGAACTTCATGCTTGCCGTGACTGATTGCCCTCAGTCTGGCTTCTGCAGAAAAGTAGCGCACACATCGTTGAGCTTCATAGGTCCGAACTGAGCAGAATCAAATTGGTTGAGGCACAAGAAAGCGAGCTGAGCTGAGCCCTGGCTGACATTTGCCCGTGGCCAGGCAAGAAGCTCCTCCATCCTGTCGATGCTGGCAGCGTGCGAGCACCGGTAACTTTCGCTGGGACTTTGATCTGCATTGCTGATCTGCTGAGGGCCAAGCTTTTGGGCAAAGACTGAAGGAACCACAGCGGAAGTTCCACATTCATCTGTCATGGCTTGCACTCTTACGTCCTACGAGGTGGCTAAGGGCCTTTACACATTTTTGGGCTTGTGGCAAATGCCCAAAACCGTTTGAAAAACCTCATGGCTCCACTCGATTGAAGCACCTGCCTTTGGAATGTACTTGAGAACCTGCAGCATTAACAGAAAGAACAGCAACAAACATCACACTCTTGCCATTTCCTCAAAGAAAACTCTAAGTCTCGGGCGTTCCATATCCAAATGCTTGCGAACCTTAAGGAAGAAGCACTGGCGCTTGAGCTTCGAAAGTGGAGATGCATGTTGAAGCTCGCACGCGAAGAACGCGTGCTTGGCAACATGCGGCTGTGCCACGCCCTACTGTAAACCCTCAACGATCCGGAGAAGGCGGACAATGACTGGTGCCCCCCCCCCCCCCTCCGCCTGGAAAGCCGATCAAACTTCCCCCAGGGCATACAGCAAAAGCGAAGCCCGAAGGCCCGAAGCTCTCGACTCCGAGCCCGAACTCCATGTGCTTACTCAGATTGCAGCGAGGGGGGGGGTTCCGTGTAAACAGAAGCTGTGCGGCCTGGGTGCTGCATGCCAGGATATGTGGTGGTTCCAATAGGCCGCCCAATCGGATACCAAGACATGTAGTCATACCTTATCTTTCGTGCACTGCTGCTGATGTCAATGGGCATGACCTGGTGCAGCGCAACCGAGTGTCCTGCCATTTTGCAAACTTAAACCAGCCGTGCTTGGACAAATACTGGGCCACGCGGAAATTGAACCTCCAGAAGAGCTAAGGAAGAGCCATTCGGTGCAGCCAACGCCCACTTCATGGACAAGGCAGTCTGCGGAGTCGACCATGGATCGAATTCATGGATCAAGTAGCCATAGTCGTGGACGGGCTGAGCATCACGGAAGGGACGTCTGTGGGCGCGCGAGCAGACACGAGCAGCTCTAAGCTGGCGGCGTGCATTCGTATCCGATATGCCCATAAGCAGAAATACCCCACCAGCAACAGCCTTGGACGGGCGGAACTATGCGGCACTGCCGAGTGAGTACATCCATGCTTTGCAAGATGCCATTGGTGCAAAGCCTTTTTTCAGCCAGGTGAACAGATACAAGCACACGAACCCATGTAAAGCGTGTCGCCGCGCTGTTGCGCAGGCCAGCTGCTGCTTCTCACGACATGAAAGCCATGAGTGACATTATCGTTGCATTAGTGTTGCATTTGCAGGCACCTGCTAGGTGTGCAGGAGAGCCCTCAGCGGCCGATGCTCAAGCAGAGGCATATGTCGGCGCTGTCATGATGAGAACCCGATCCACATCTTCCAGCCTTGGGTGACATTGAAGGGGGGCACGGGGGCACTGCAGCAGTGTGGCAGGTGCGTCCAGAATCAATCCAAGATACGGTCTCAGCCGGTTCCTATCAACGCTCCAGAGGCACACTGGCAGTACTTACAAAGCAGAAAGCACCTCCGACACTACATCCAAATCTGGCTTCAGGGGGGAGCGCACGTTGGGCCCTTGCGAAACACGTCTTCCCTTGTTCCTGTAGGCTTTGCTTGTGGGGGCCACGGGCGCGACATCTCGTGACTCCGACGTCTTTTTGAGACGCGCAGAATTAGACCCCATTGGATCCGCGAGAAATCGCGACAGCCAGTGAGCGTGCGTCTGTCGGACCGGCGCACTGCCTTCACTTTATTTCTCTTTGTTATGTCTTTGCTTCAAGTCCGCCAAGCTGTCAAACACAAGCCGGATGCATCACCCAACGTGCTATGTCCTGAGCTTCTGCATCAGATCGCCCACAGCTGCAAAGTTCGTGCTGCCCTTAGCCGGAAACCATAGCGTCGTGATCGCTTACCCCAATCTTGCGTTAAGCAGGACAGAACGACTTTGCAGGTTTGCTGTGTGGGTGGTTCAGCCAGAGGCTCCTCATTGATAGTCAGGGTCACCTGATCAGAAACCATGAATGCCATGGTGTAGGTCATGGCTGACAATAGAGGCTGGCACCTCTATTGTGTGGCCCATGCCCGACATGTACACCTTGATATCTTCACCGGCCACTGAACAGGGCGAGCCCTTGACCTGGGTGGCTGTGCGGGTGAGTAGGGGAAGGTTCGATTGAATGGGCGGGTTTCGTTGCAGCTTGCCCGCACGATCCTGCATGCGTGCGGGACATGGGGATTCGAGCCGACAGTGGACCGAAGGAATCAACGGGGATCTCTGGGGGCCCTACAACATCAAACACCTCTTTGCGGACGCCGTCGCAAAACTCTTCGTTTGCAACCTGCTCCGTCACTGCCCACATGAAGTGACGAAGGCTTTGTACCAACGCGATCTGCTGCTTCGAGCCTGCTCGCTGAGCAGCGTCATGTGCTCCATCCTTCAGGTGCGGCGACAAATGAGGCATGAAGCAGCAGCCGCTCGTGACGAGTCTGCCCAAACTGCCAGTGAGGGGCATCAGCTCTGACCATGTGTACCTGTCCAGCAAACTTCGGAAACATACTGTCACAGAGACAAGCGGTCCGTGCAGACCGAGAATCAAATCGCATGGCGCACATGATGAAAAAAGATAGCAGCAGCGACACCTGCAGTCAAAATGATGCTCAAGCCCATGCTTCGCATTCATCGCCCGTCAACTTCCTCCAATACTCACTACGGTCACTACTGTGTCTGGACTGGCTCTCTGGACCCTCGCAGTAAAGTCAGAGTTTATTACTGTGAGTCTGCCGGGACTTGGCGGCTTTCCATCGCCACGTATATGGAAGCTGTGAATACGGAGCTTAAGCCGGTGGCCCGATCCTGCTAAACGAGCTCGTCCTATCTGCAGTCTGCGCCGGAGCCCCCTCTTGTCCCCAACACCAAGGCTTACTGCTATGACCTCACTCGACACTCCTTAGCACCTTCCAGGACAAACTAACTACTGTATCTGCTATTCCAGAAGCGCTTATCGCGTCTGCTCTGCAAATAAATCATTGCTTCTCTGTTTGCTCTGTCTGTCTGTCTGCCAGTCTGTTTCTGTCAAGCTGCCAGCGGGTCAACTTTCTCATCAGCAATGAACTTGCCAGTGAATTGCGGAAAGCCAGCCTTGCTGCAACATGCACGCTCCCTGGCGCCATGGCCAACACGGCAGCACCAGCAAAAAAGGTTGCAAGCTGGTCCTAGAATCTGTGTGGGATGTCTGTATCATGTTGACATGAAGGCCTTCTGCAGTACTCCTTTGCAGACTCTGCGACTGACTGCAGGCCATGGAGCAGCGATGAAGGTGGCGGCAATTACGAAGCCTGCATACAAATAAATAAATATAAATATACATATATATATATATATATATATATGTATGCGACTGCGGATCAGAGCCCGCCTAGAGCAAGCCTAACAGCAAGCCGTAACTTTTTGGAGCTGAAGCAAAGCTAATTGGGCTGAGCTGCTTGTGCAGAAGAAGTCGTTTCTCTTGTCGGTGGCCAACGCAACCAGAACCGAAGAGCCACTCTTGGGAATGGCATACAGAATGCAGTACATCCATAGGCAGAACCTCAGCATGGCCAAAGAGGTCTAGGCCAACCACCAAAGCGTAAAGAACTAAGATATGCTGATTTCGCAAGAAGATAACGATTCTAAATGCTGGTAAACTTTAAACAGGCGCTGTCCGTCTGAAAATTGAGTGGTTGCTTGCGAATGGGCTTCGTGCGAGTGACACAGAGTGAGAGATTGAAGCAATCGAAGAACTGGCCTTCTACAATCACTCCAGTTTGCACGCCGTGCCTTCGTGCTCCCCCTATCCCCATACAAGAGATGATGTCATAGCTTGCAATTGCGCTGCTTGTATGATGCACAGAGGCCAAGGAAGAGGTTCTGCGTCCTTGCTGATGCAACGGAAACGCCACGTGTACAAGGATCAGTGCGGGATCTGTACACTTTCTGACGGCCGGCAGTGCAACCTGAACAATCTTGCCGCCAAGGTTCTTCAGCTCTTGCCACTTTTCGGCTTCATTCTCGTAGTCGGCAATTTGTTGCACGATCCTTGCTTCTAGTGATTCTAGTGTCTCCAATATGCAACTAAGGGAGTTCTTGAGTTGTGGAACCTGGCTGAGACTTCGATTTAAAACGAGGTGATGTGGACAACAGACTGCCAGAGAGTCTCTCTCCTCTTGTCAATTCATCTGGCTCTTGTGCCTCGCTTGGCGCAAGTTGGTAGCGCAAGTTGGTAGCGAGACGCAATTGTCACTCAAGCCAACGGAGTCAACAGGGCCAACTCATGAAACCGGACCATTTTCAAGGGGGCTAAACAAAGTTCGAACATATCTCGCGTCAGCGCCAATGAAAAAAATGCTTACTGTGCTGTCAGTTGCATACACCGCTTTCTCGGCAGGGTCGCCTTTCTGAGGGCAGGCTTTAATCACATCTATCGTCCAGAACCCAGCAAGGTGCGCTGAAAGATGTGCGTGGAGGACGTGTCCAGTATAGAAGCGACCAGACTGCACACCAAGTTGCCATGGGCGTCAAAATACTTCTTCAGCGGATTCGCTATCTTTTCAGCACTGTCAGCTGCTTCTTGCCATTGACACTCGCCCTGCTACAGGTGTGGCAGTGAAGAACGATCGCTCGAAGAAGCCAGGCCCCGGCTAAAGATGAAGGCACCCTAGAGTCCTAACAAGAAATGCATCTATATTGCACCTCGGCATCGCACTTGAGATCACGATGCCACCGGCTGAAGTCCGTGATCGAGCCCGTCTGCTGGA